TGGTCATCTTCGTCCGGCCCTTCATGTTCTGCCAGGGCAGCCAGCCGTTTAGGAAGTAGATGAAGAGGTAGCCGAGCGACTCCAGGTCGTCCCGGCGGCTTTGTTCTATTTTAATAGAGGAGAGGGGAAGAAAAAGGTTAGTTTTAGAAATGTTAGTCATTTTTGCCTACCGTTTCCAATGTGGGCGTTGACGCTGGCGTAGCGGGCGGTGCCGGTCAGGCTCTTCCCTCCTCGATTGGGAATGTGTCGTCGGGCATTCCCGACCACATCGCGGTACTTCTTGCCCAGGCCAAAGTCGATCAGGTAGAGCTGGTTCTTGTTGACGCCAGTGCCCATCAGAAAGTTCTCGGGCTTCAGGTCGCGGTGAATGTAGTTGCATGTGTGCAGATTCTCCAGTCGCATTAACTAGCGTCAAAGAGGAAGAGTGTTAAAGGCAAGGCAAAATAGAACCACAGCAGAGCTTACCATCTTGTCGGCCAACATGAGCACAGTCTTGAGGGAGAACTGGCGACCGCAGTAGTTGAACAGTGTCTCCAGATTGTCGCCTAGAAGTTCCATCACCAGGATGGTGTAATCGCCCTCCTGGCCGAACCACTTTACTTTCGGTATGCCTGCTAAAAAATGTTTAAAGAAACAGTCGATTTAGAAATAGAAATAGAAAAGGCAAAAGGCGCTACTCACCATAGTGGCCAACCGCTTTGTAGATCTTGTGCTCCAAGTTCAGTTGTGGAAACATCGTCTTTGTGTCCTCCAGTTTGATGGCCACCTCTTCTCGCGTGTCCATGTCAATGCCTGAAAAGATGTTATCATTATCAGTGAGAAGACAAGTAGAAACATGAAGTTGCCGTACCTTGGAAAATTTGACCAAAGGAGCCCGAGCCAATCTTTCTCACCAGGCGAAACTTCTTTCCGACGTACACCGACATCTTGCGTCTTCTCTTGACGATGATGCTGACTATGATGAGAAGCAGGTGATTAGGCGTGTTGTTGATTGTTTGGGAAGGAGAAGGAGGGGAGTGATCTTCAAGGCAAGATTGTGACACGAATTTGCGACGTTAGTCGGCGACGCTGATAAGAGCGAGTGAACGCGACTGACGCAATGAAAAATGAAGAGCCAGCCAGCTCAACGGCGTGGCGCCGATGAAAACGAGGTGATGATATGGCGATGAATCATCAGCTGGTAACGTACTCTCTGAATACGACGCGAAATGCGAAAAAAGAAGTTTTGGCTCTCTTGTTGAAGTTCTATTCTATTTTGTCTCCAGTTTCGAACTGTTTCGAAAACCACTTTTTGAAGAAGTTTTTGTAACCTGGAAATTGAAAACACTTTTTGAAGCAACAGTTCTTCTCGAGGTGAGCTCAAATGTCCGCCTCAAATGACTCTTCAGGAGGAGGAGGAGGAGCGACGTCCACTTCGAAGGGCAACAACACCTCTTCGTCGCCGGCATCAACGACGCCCAATCAACAGCAGCAGCAGCCGGTGATGCCTTTTGTGCAGATGAACGCTGACCAGATTTACCAGAAGATTGGCAAGGGAGAGGCGGTGGGTCAAGGGCGTCATATGGTGTCAGCAAAGCTTGGAGCGGGGGCAAACACCACCACCACAACTACGACAACAGGATCATCATCTCCGCATTCAAAAGGTCACAGTCACAAATCGAAGAAGGCAAAGATTCCCAGTAAGAGAAGATCATCACTTTTTGTCGTCAAAGTAATTTCCCATTGCTTTTTTGCCAGCAATTGACCCGAGCACCTACTTCTACATTCTGCCTGATGGAAAGCAGGCGATGGTGGTGCCTGGACTGACTCCTGTCAATGCACCACTATCATCGCCTGTACAGCATCAGCAGTACTATGAGTACTATGAGAAGAATGTGATGACGAATGTCGTTCAACCGCAACCGCCGCCACCGCCACCACCACCACCACCGGTCACAACAGTGCACCAGGAGTACCAGATGGAGAAATTCACGGCAGCAGAAGGCTTCAACAACTTTGCCCGACAACAGCAGCAGCAGCAACATTTCGGACAGAAGGCCACCTTTGTTGCTGGCAAATTACACACTCCACCTCCACCTCCTTCACCAGCAGCTCTAAACGATGCTAATCGACGAGTTGAGGAGCTGAATCGCTGGATGGCCGGCAAAACTAGCACCGGCAAAGGACAGCAGCAACACAAACGCTGACATCTTTTTTTACCTACGTGTTCATTCGGCAAACAAAGATCGCTTTTAATTTGAATTTGTGTGGTTTACCACCACCATCATCACAAAAGTAGAGCAAAAGCACTACACGCATCACAGCAGAAACTTCCAGCAGACAAACAGACAGCAACAGACGGCGGCCAGAGAGGCGACGACGTAGACGGCCACCAGAAGCAGCTGCTGTTGACCACCACTGTCATCATCTTTCTCGCTTGTGCCTGCGTCAGCTGACGAAGAAGAAGAGGTTGTAGAAGAAGTTGTGGTCGTCGAAGCTGCTGTCGAAGCTGTGGTCGAAGTTGAGGTCGAAGCTGTGGTCGAAGCTTTAGTCAAAGTTGAGGTCAAAGCTGTGGTCAACGTTTCCTCCTCCTCCTCCTGCTCCTTCTCCAAAGTGCTTGCTTCAAAAGTGGTGGTAAAAGTGGTGCTCTCAGAAGATGAAGTGGCGGTGGGAGATGGTGATAATGTCGACAACGTAGTCAAAGGCGGAGATGTTGCTGCAGAAGTTGAGGAGTTGGTGGTGGTGGTGGTGGTGGGCTGCTGAGAAGTCATCATCAAAGTCGTCGCCCAATTCGTCGAGCTGCCTTCCTCTTCCGTCTTCCACTCAGTGCTTTCCATCATCTTCTCCTCCAAAACTCCATCAGCCACTCCCTGGCACCGCCCTTTGAGCTCCTTGAGGTGGACCACCTCCCCGCAGGACGGCTCCTTTCCCTCCTCGAGCAGCAGCAGACGGACCAGCCGCCCGCCCTCAAGTTGCTCCATATGGTGGGCACTGCAGCCCAGCTGGCAGGCCGCTTCGAGGACGCAGGTGGCCAGGCGGAAGAGGACGATGCAGGCACGAGCCTTCGCAAACTTCAACTTAACTCTTCCCACCTTTAGTTTTTTCTTTTTCGAGGAACGGGAGGAAGCAGAATCAGGAGTAGTAGTGCTGTCTTCAATCAGCTCCTGGAGAAATGTCTGCAACGCCGCCGTTCCCTGTTCACTTTGAGAGGAGGACTCGTCTTCGGAGGACCAGGGAAGGATGTTGTCACGGCAGTCCTGATAGGCCTCAGCCTCCAGACAGGGCAATTCGGGAAAGAGTTGGCCAGTTTCACTACTGCTGATGATGATTTGCTGAAAAAGAAATAAGAAAAAGTAAAAGAAGGTTATCAGGGAGGTGATCATCGTTGCAGTGAACATTTGTTGGGTGACAGAACAAAAGTCGGAAAAATATTTGAGAAAGAGTTTTCGTCTACGTCGTCTCACCTTTTTACCACCGCTGCTGCTGCTTTCGAACTCTCACCTACTCAAACTAGAACTTTTTTAAGATGAACTAAACCAGTCCAAACTTATTTTCCACGTCTCACTACCACTTCTAACTCCAGCTCTTCTTTGCAGTGACTCAAAAGACGCAAGATCACTCTCTTGAAGGCTTTCCTAGAGAAAAAAAGTATGGCCGCCCTNGTGTCACAATCGACCACCACCTCCGGCACTGCAACTTCAAACTCCTCCTCCAGCACTACCAGTACTACTACCACCTCCTCTTCTTCTTCCGAAGCCTCCGCCAGCACCTCTGACAGCGCCGGCCTGCAGACGATCAAGCTGATCCTGGTGGTGGGCGGCGTGCTGAGCATCGTCCTCATCCTCCTGGAGAAGTGCACCATCTGCTACTGCTTCCTCTTCCACGAGGACCTGACGGCGGCGGCGGTGGCCGGCAACAGCGCCATCGGCGGCGCCAGAGGCGGCTCCAGCACGAGCGCCGAGGGCGGCGGCGGCGTCGTCCACAGCAACCTCCAGAAGAAGAGTCGAAAGACTTGAGGGCTACCTTCTTGAGAGCTTAGGCTTAGGAGTTTCAAGCCGGCAGAAAATTATTCCCACCATCTCGCCCTTTTTGTTTGTTACTAAAAAAATTAAAGCTTGTTAGAATGTTCCATTTCAGCTTAGCCAGTTTGGGTGCTAGACTTATAAAAGCTCGTGTCCTTAACTTTAAAACAAT